CTTGGGGGTGTATTTAGTTGGGATATGTGTGGAGTAACAAGAGGGAGTAGAGATCTGAGAGGCAGGACGACAAGGTGCTGCTCAAGGTCACGCAAAGTCAATGTCATCTCTGGGTCTAGAAGGCACATCCCACCACCACTGCCATTCCCAAACGTGGGCTATTTCCTTCCACCCCTGTTAGGGCCCACATTCCAGCATCCATACCTTTGCTCTTTCTGTTCCCCTACCCAGCATGCCCTCCCCTCAAGTTCCAGCTAGAGGCCCCTTCTACCCAGGGGCTAGAGCAAGGCCCAGGGTCAGAGGTGGATGGGGTCTGAAAGAAAGGTGGGAGGGTGGCGGAAAGTGCGGAGGCCTGATTTAGAGACCCGCTCTGCCTCATGCTGACTGTGCAACATGGGCAGGTCACTTTCCCTCTTTAGGGCTCAGTTTCCCAACCTTTCCAAGGTGAAAAAGGAGAGATCATTGAACTTAGGGAGCTCACAGTCTGGAAAGAGCCACCAGGCAGAACAAGACCAGGACATTCAAGCTGTGTCAAATGCCTCGAGCATGCAGATGAGGGGCAAGTTTGCAAAGAAAGACTTGTGCCATTTTCTCTGAGGCTTAAAGAATGGGTAAAATTTCAACACATTGAGGGGAGCTGAGGAAGGGCACTCCAGGCAGAAGGAACAGCCTGAGAAAAGGCTGAGAGGCAGAAAGTTCAGGGTGTGGTCAGGGCAGAGGAGGAGGGTCCAGATGCTGGTTTCTTTCCAAGTCAACATCTCAGGCACTTTTTGTAAGTATGCTGCCCAAGCCACAGCCTCCAGTAAACACCTGTTTACACAATCGAGGTCACACACAGGGACATGTTTGCACAATGACCTGTTTGCACAACCTTAGCTGACTGCTGTATTCCAGCCAACCCAGGCCCTGGCAGATGAGCACAGTCTCCACTTCCGGACACTCTGCCATGGCGAGCTCACCGGCCCCTACCCAGCCCCCCTGAAAAGGGCCGCTCCCTGGCCCGCCCAACAGCCCCACACATCACAGGCAACAACAGAAACAGAAACAATATGGCCCTCGGTTGCCGGACTGCCAAGAAGGGGCTTCCCTCTCTGGGGCTCCCTTACAGGGGGTTTCCAACCTGTCTGGTGGAGGAGGGGGTAGGGGGCAGGATATTTGGAGAGGAAGTATCCACAAAGCAGACACACGGGTGCGGTGGTGGAGATGACACCTCATTTGTCTTGTGCTTTCCAGTTCACCATAGTAAACACTTATTAAGCATTTACTGTGTGCCTGGCTCTGCTCCACAAGCCATACGTTCACTGATTTTGCTCAAGAATTCTATGAAGCCCATACGATTATCCTCATTTTACAGATAACAAAACTGAGGTTCAGAGAGGTTAAACATGCATTTATTTACACAGGGTCACACAGGTATTAAGTGGCAAAATCAAGCAGGCCAACGCCTCAGCTCATGGTCTTAACCTCTGTAGGCGCTAATGTCTCTCCCCTAAAGAACGTTCTTCCTTAAATCTAACTTTCATTTCCTTAAACCGACTTTTATTTCAGCTGCTACAACTTCATTTCCTGGTATAGTTCCTCAAAGGAAAATGGAGCACAAAGGAAATCAGTAAAATCTTGCTCCAAAATATTGAATTGTGCAGAAAGGAAAAAGGAAACAATTTCACTGAGCACTTACTATGTGCTGTTTACAATGGTAGGCATAATAATACTTCTGAGAGTTCATTGAACTCTCTCAGAACCATCAGAAGGAGTTATAATCCCTGTGACAGATAAGGAAACAGAGGCTTGGAGAGAGAAACCACCTTCTCCAAGGTTCTCCAGCCCAATGGATATATGCGCTGAGCATCCTCCATGTACCCGGCACTGTGCTGAGGTTGGGGAGGCAGTGGTGAGAATGCGTCTTCTGCCCTCAAAGAGTTCACAGTCTAATGGGGAAAACTGACAGCCAACAGCCCACTGCAGTGTTTCGGGACCCACAAGGAGGGATCCACGAGGCTAAGGTGCAGAAGGGTAGATCAGGTGGCTGGGATGGTTAGGGAGTCTCAGCGTGACTAAGGTGCAGAGAAGCTGGGTCAGGAACAGGACTTGGTCAGGAGGAGGTGACAAGCAATGACAAAAGCAAAGGCATGGAAGTGTTCCAGACCCTGAGGCAGGCAGGGGAGCACAAGCGAATTGGGCATGAGGAGAGCGTGAAGCAGTGCATCAGGGGAGGTGGAAGAAGGGCCATCCTGATTGTCCAGTTAAGGTTTTAGGACACAGGGAAGTTAGGACTCTGAGGAAAGGCAGGGTGGGAGGAAGGATTGCAGGGCTGTTGACAAGACAGTTGAGTTTCACAAAGGCAAGAATTAGAGCTCCCATGGCGCACGCGTGCGCGCGCGCACACACACACACACACACACACACACACACACACACACACACCCCCGCCTGTTCCAGGAGCAGGTTTTCTGAATAAACAAAAGGCTTATTCTCCTTCATTAAGAACTGAACGGAGGCCGGGTGTGGTGGCTCAGCCTGTAATTCCAGCACTTTGGGAGGAAGAGGTGACAGGATGGGCCTGAGCCCAGGGGTTCAAGACCAGCCTGGGCAGCATGGCAAGGCCTCCTCTCTACAATAAATTTAAAAAATTAGCCAGGCGTGGTGGCGCATGCCTGTAGTTCTAGCTACTTGGGAGACTGAGGCGGGATCACCCAAGCCCAGCAGACTGAGGTTGCAGTAGCCGTGAGCATGCCACTGCACTCCAGCCTGGGCTACAGAGTGAGACTCTGACTCAAAATAATAAAAATAATAATAAAGAACCAACTGGATGTGAGAATGTGGAGAAGGGGTGTAAGAAACGACTCCTGAGGAGGGGATGAAGGTTAATCCGCCAAGACGAGGCACGCAGGGATTGGAGACAGATTTGGTGAAGTGAGGGGAAGAGTCATCCATTCAATCATTCATTCAACAAACATGTATGGTGGGCTCACTATGTGACAGGCAGTGTTGTAGACACTGGAGATAAAGTTTTGAAGAAAACAGACAAAAACTGTCGCCCTCATGGAACTTCCGCTCTATGGGGGGTAGGGACAGCCAATATTAGATAGTGAAAAGGGATATGGGGGGAAAGAGGGATTGGAAGTGGGAGGAGGAGGGCATGTTTTTTTATAGGGTGGTTAGAGGAGGCTCAATGAGAAGATGATCTGTGAGCAAAGACCTGAAGAAAGGGAGAGAGTGACTCCTGTGGTTATTTGGGGGGAAAGAGTGCAGGTGAAAGAAACAGCAAGTGCAAAGGCCCTGGGGCAGGAGGCAGTCTAACAAGTTCAAGAAACAAGGACAACAGAGTTGTAGAGCGAAGCAACAGGAGGGAGAATAACAGAAGACAGGTCAGGGAGGTGGTGGAGGTGCCAGGTTGTATAGGGCCTCACAGACCATAGAAATATCTTTGACTTTGACTCTGAGTAATGTGGGAGCCAATAGAGGGCTTGGGGCAGAAGATGGTGTGATTTGACTTCTGTGTGGTCAGTATCACACTGGCTGCTGGAGGAACAATAGACAGGTGGGAACAAGGATGAACGGAAGCAGAAGACAGGAGAGGGCTATTGCAACAATCTGGGCAAGAGACAAGGGCAGCTTGGAACTGGCTGGTATTGGTTTAGGTGATATTTATATTTGCCAGTATGTTATCATGAAGATTCTCAAGCACAGAGCCACGTTGAACTTTACGGTGAATGCCTGCATCCCCAGGATTCTGGTTATATCTCGAAAGAAGAGCCAGTGGGATGCATTGAGTGAGCAGACCTGTGGGACACCTTGGCGGGGAGGGGGGGCAGGAAGGCAGGAGGGTTGTAGCAGGCAGTTGAGTAGTTTGGCCCGGAGCCAGATGGCAGCCCTGGTCTGCCCCGTCACACCAGACCTGGGAGCCCACTTTTCCTAAAAAGGATGACAGGCTAAAGACACTCTTGTTAGTCTGTTGGTACCTAACCTTTATTAGGTCATGAGTTCAATAAACTATGAGCAGTTTGGACCTTTCTCAGAAAATGTACAGAGAATTATTTATAAACAATGGCAGAGGAATCATGAATGCAGACAATAAAAGATATAAAATATAGTCTATTTTACTCAATTAAAAGAGATTAGGTAGGCTGGGCAGCATGCTGAGATCTTGTCTCTACAGATTTTTTTTTTAAGTCAGAACCTCACTCTGTCGCCCAGGCTAGAGTGCAGTGGCACGCTCACAGCCATCCCAGCATTGACCTGTTGGGCTCAGGTGATCCTTCCACCTTAGCCTTCCAAGTAGCCGGAACTGCAGGTGTGGGCTACCACACCAGGCTATTTTTGATATATTGTAGAGACAAGGTCTCACCAAGTTTCCCAGGCTGGTCTCAAACCCCTGGGCTTCAGCAATCCTCTCGTCTTGGCCTCCCAAAGTGTTGGGATTACAGGCTTGAGCCACTGGGCCCAGACAAAAATTTCTTCAAAAATTAGCCAAGCCAGGTACAGTGGCTCACGCCTGTCATCCTGACTAGAGTGCAGTGGCACACTCACTGTTCACCACAGCCTTGACCTCCTAGATTCATATGATCCTTCCATCTCAGTCTCCCAAGTAGGTGGGGTCACAGGCACGCACCACTACTCTTTTTTCTTTTTTTGTAGAGACGATGTCTGGTTATGTTGCCCAGGCTGGTCTTGAACTCCTGGGCTCAAGCCATCCTCCCACCTTGGCCTCCCAAAGTGCTGGGATTACAGGCATGAGCCACTGTGCCCGGCCAACATTACTAGTTCCTAGTGAACATAGAAGACCCCATACCTCACCCAGACATCCCTCTGTCTTGCCCCCAGAGTCCCCATTTAACTGACCTATAGGTAATGATAAGGAATACGTAGTGATAGGGGAGCAGTGAGTATTGTGTTATCAAATTCCCTGGACCCTGGAAGATGCCTTCCAGAGGACTGTGGGAATGAGGGCCTCAAGGTGGAAATGAGGGTCCCAAGGCTAATGCCAAAAAGAGGCGTGGGGCCGAGTGAGCCTCTGAGCCAGAGTCTGTCTCCAAGTGATGCTTCCCCAGGGCGGGGTACATGGGGGTGGCACCCAGCCAGGTTGGAGCCTGGGCCTGGCCTGGCCTCAAGGCTTTGAGCTCAGGAAATCCGGAGGCTGAGGAGGGGGACAAGGTTGCCACATTCCCCAGCGCTTTAAGACCCCCGAGGCAGGAAGGCTGCCGGGCCTCACCAGTTTCCCTCACTGGCTCCTTCCTGGGAGGAAGGGGCTGCCGGTACCCGCGAAGGCGCGAGGGAGGGCCGGAGGGAGGCTGGGAAGGTGTTGCAATCGCCAGCCCCTGGGCCTGTCAGAGACCGAGCACTAACGACAGGACTGAGGAGAAAAAGCCGACTGGGGCTGATTTCAGGAACTTGCCTGCCTAGGAGAGGAGCGAGCAGGGAGGCCGGGCGGGTGCGGGGCTGAGGCCCCGGCTCCGGCTCCAGGGTGAGTAGCGGATCCCCAGGGAGGGGCTGAGCCTCGGGCTTGAGGGAGCTCTGCCAAGCACTCCTGCCAGGGGGCCAGGCCCAGGGCCAGGGCTTCTTCCTTTGGTACAGGGGCCCTTGACACTGAGTCTCTTTTCCTAGGATGCCCCCACTTTTTGTGAGGGCACGCATCAAGGAAGTCACAAGAGCAGAATATCTCCTTGGGGACACCGAGGTGGGCTCAGGGACAGGAGTCACTATTCTCTCTCTCCATGCCTCTGTCTCTCAAAACCTGTGTGTCTGCGTGCGCCAGTCTCCGACCCCTCCCCGTCTGGGCATCTGTCTATTTCACTCCCAGTTTCAGTCTTTACTCCTCAGCCCTCTCTGGCTTGCTTGCTCTGTGAGTTTCTGTCTCGGGGTCTCTCTGTGCCTCTTTCTCTATCTCACATGATTCCCCTTGTCTCCTGAATCTTAAACTTTTGGTATCAGACTGCTTTTCAAGTCTCCAAGGCCTCTGCCTCTCTGGGTCAGTAGCCTTGTCTCTTGGCCTCTTTTTCTCTGTCTGACTTGGCCGCTCTCCTGCCTCAATCTTTCCCCTTGTGGGTCTGTGTGCATATCTCAGTCTCTGCCTCGCTGGTACTCTTTGTGCCTCTCTCTGTCTCTCTGTCTGTCTCTTTCTCTTTCTGGCCCTGTCTCCGTCTCTCTCTTTCTCTCTCTCTATCTTTCTGTCTTTCTCTCTGTCTCTGTCTGTCTCTCTCTCTCTATCTCTGTCTGTCTGTCTCTCTCTCTTTCTGTCTCCCTCTCTTTCTCTCTCTCTCTCCCTGTGTGTGTGTGTGTGTGTGTGTGTGTGTGTGTGTGTGTGTCCTGTGTCCCTCTGTCTGTGCCTCTTTCTTTCTCCAAGTCACATCTGGGAAGGTCTCTCCCTCCTTATTCCCAGCCATCTCCTCCCTCCCCACCTTCCCACAGAATCTTCAGGTGAGAGGAGAAAGAGCAGGGGAGACGGAGTGTGAACTGGAGAAGGGAGCATGGGGGGATAAGGTTGAGTGTGATGGAGGGGAGTGCTGAAAGAGGGGGTGTGAGGGTGGCAGCCCCAGGAGGTATCATGGTGTGCAGTGACAGAGTCGAGCACCTGGAGAACCACACTGTGGTAGCTAGAGCTAGAAGAGGGATGGGAGCCAAGGGCTACAAAAAGGGGATCCAGAAAGGTGGCTTTGAAAGTGTGCGGTGTGGCATAGACAAAAACAAGGTGGCAGTCCTAGAAGGCTGTGACCATGCACCCTGTCGGGGGTCGGGGACAACGCTGGGGGGACTAAACCATGCTGGAGTTCATGAGCTGGTGGCCTGCATCGTGGCTTGTGAAAACAACCTCTGGTTACAGAGCATTTACCCGTGCCAGGCATAGTGCTAAGTGCTTTCACCATGATCCTCTTGTTTCGTCTTCACTGCAGCCCTGAGAAGTGGGTACTACTGTTATCTGTTTTTCACAGATAGGGAGACTGAGGCTGGGAAAGGTGAAGTAACTTGCCCAACATCACAAGGCTGGTAAGCAGTGGAGCTGGAGTTCAGGTCAGGTGATCTGAATCCGAGCTGGATTCCAAAGTTCTCTGCACACTGGCCCCCTAGAGAGCCAGACCATGTGCCAGCAGGCCTCAATCCCACTCAACAGGATACAGGATGGCCAGGGCTGCTGAAGGGGACCAGGGACTGATGCCAAGCAGGCCAGCACCCAGCAACCCAGGCGAAGATGCCTGAGCATCTTGGGGTTAGGTTGCCTACTCTGGTCAGGAACCAGTGGAGAGGGATATGGTGGTACCTCACTGGACATAGGCTGGGCCTGAAGCTGACCCTTGGTAGAACAGGGCTGGGATATAATCAACAACACAAGGAGATAAGAACTAGTGTCTCAAAATCTGGACCTTGCAGACGAAATCTTTTCCAACCAGTGTGTGGGGAGGATAACCAAACTGGTGTGCTGTAGTAAGAAGGTTACCAACCACTGATTGGTGGACAGGGGTGCTCTGGATAGTTTTGCAGGTTTCTCATTGCACAAAACTGGAGTAACTGGAGGCTGAAATCCATCCTGTACCCCAGCTGCCAGACCCTAGTGTGGTGCCGCATCTGTCCGGAGGATGGGGTGTTTTTTTCTGATTTGCACAAAGGCGACTTATGGGCCGGCAGTCACTGATCAAGTACCAAGATATTAAGATACAATATCTTAATACTGCAGTACATGTAGGTAGACTGGGTTTGGGTAAGACCCTTGCAAGTAGGAACAACCTTGAGTCTCTGGGCAGTTCTTATTCACACCTCTGCCTGGGAGGGTGAGGAGCCTAGAGCAGTTCCTAAGAGCCTAGGAGCTCCTTCCAAGGAGCCACGAAGCAGTCTGAGGAATGCTCTATGGCTCCTTGGAAGGTTCCAGTTGTCCACAGAGGTGACCAGTCCGATGGCACAACCTTGTGTTGCCTTTCCCTCCTTCCCCATTTCCTTCTCCTCACTCCCTCACCTGCTCCTGGAATCTTTCCAGAATAAACTACTGGCCTGCAAGCCCTTGTCTCAGGCTCTGCTTTCTGGAGGAGCCCAGCTTAGAGAGCAGGGAAGAGAAAGGATGCCATTCCTTACCACTCCTTTCCCTGCTCTTTCTAGAGAAAGAATTATCCTAGCTTTCTCACCACTGAGCACAGGGCATCTGTTGGGACCCACATGCACATGTCCATGTATGTACATGCAGGCTGGCCAGTGGTTCCCTCTGACCTGCCACCAGGAGCACCAAATTGTGCTGAAGGACCAGGTATCTGGCCCCAAGACCCCTGTGGGAGGAGAGTGGAGGTGAGGACATCCCAGTGGTAGAAACGTCTGCATGCTTCCTAACACTGGAGCCAAGCCCCTCTCCACCCAGGCACTATCGACATGACCACATGATGCCTGACCCCCAAAAGACCTCCAGAGCTCCATGCCCTAAACTGGGGATAGGACCCCTTGGGGGGGAGTCCCCTGATATCCCGTCAGTCCACTTTTTCTTTAGCCATAGCTGTGGCAGCCAGCTTTCTACAACATCACTAGACAGCCCCTTGCCTCAGCTGCTCCAGGGAGCTCTCTCCTTTTCCAGGGGGTGACTCTGACTCCCCTGGCATGGCTCACCCAGAAGAAGCTGCCTGGTACTTACTCAGCATGCACAACCTGGATGTGCCAGGGAGTTAGCACCCCAAAGGGCACCCCCTGACCCATGGGGGCAAGAGTCAGTGGAGAAATGTTCCCATCCTCTTTCCATCCAAGGGATAAGTTGACCCTTAGGAGACAGTTCTGAGGAGGGCTCTGGGGCTCCTTGGAAGGTTCCAGTTGTCCACAGAGGTGACCAGTCCAATAGCACCTTGTGTTGGCTTTCCCTCCTTCCCTGTTTCCTTCTCTCTACTCCCTCAGCTGCTCCTGAAATCTTCCCAGAATAAACTACTGGCACACTAGCCTTTGTCTCAGGCTCTGCTTTCTGGGGGAGCCTAGCTTAGACCGCAGGGAAGGGGAGGGATGCCATTTCTTACCACTCCTTTCCCTGCTCCTTTCTGGAAGGCAAGGATAATAACAACAGTGGCTGTCAGCTCCAGAGTCATTTCCTATGTGCCAGGCACCGTGCAAAGCCCTTGACTTGGGTCATTTCATGTCTTCCTCCCAAATCCCTACACAGTATAGGTTGTTGTTATTGCCGATATGCAAAGAAGCTGAGGCGCAGAAAGGTCAAGTGACCTAGGTAAAGCTGCACTGTGGCAGATAAGGATTAAGGTCAGCTCTGCCTCCAAAGTCCATGGTCTTACCCAATCCCCTCTGTCTCCAGGTGAGCCCCAAGTTGGCGCCATGGCAAGTTTGGGAACTTGCAGCCTGACAAGAGCCGCTCTCATCATCCTGCTGCTCCCCGGAAGTGAGTATGGCCAGGGATGGGGTGCATAGGGAGAGGGGAGTTGCAGCAAGAGATAGCGGGGGTGGGGGAGAGACTAATTTCCCTGCACTACCCATGGCTCCTAGGATTCCCAGAGAATCCCAAGAGATTAAAAGACTGAGCCACAGATGTGGGGTGGCCAAGATCCCCTCTGCAGACCTCCACAGGCAAACTACCACCCAAGAGGGATGGCAAGCAGACCCGGACTGGTCAGCCTGGAGGAGGCCAGTGGGACCCAGGTCTCACCTACAAATCTCTGCCGGGCTGTCAGAAGGGACCTCTGGGTCCTATTCGGCCTTAATGGGCCACAAAATGATAAGGGTGGAAGCCACAAAGAGCTTATCTTGATCATTGCGAGAGCTATTTATGATGTCACATGAGTAGTCTGAAATCAGTCATGGCAGTAGAATTTACACCATGGAAAGTGACATACTGCCAATCAGTCAGTTTTTCTCTGCAGAGCTGGTTGATAAACACTTACCAGCACACCACTATCACTGTCTCACCCTGCAGCCTCTTGTAGTCCCATTCATACCCTTTCAGTTCTAGTCCCCATGCCTTGAAGGATGAGACAGGAAACGCAAGCCCTGTGTCTGAGTCCCAAGGCCTAGATGAGAGCCTAGCTCTGCCAGGCAGAGGCATCACTCATGGCTCATTTTCTTCCACCCCAGGCCTGGAGGAGTGTGGGCGCATCAGCCTCTCAGCCTCTGTCGTCCGCCTGGGGGATCCTGTCACGGCCTCCTGCATTGTCAGCCAGAACTGCAGCCTCTCAGACTCAGAGTTACAGATTATGTGGAAACTGGAAGAAGAGCTTCAGCCTGGGGAGAGGCAGCAGCGCCTGCCTGATGGGACCCAGGAATCTACCATCACCCTGCCCCAGCTCAACCGCACTCAGGTCTTTCTCTCCTGCTGCCTGCTCTGGGGCAACAGCCTACAGATCCTGGACCAGGCTGAGCTGCGAGCAGGCTGTAAGTCCCCCCATCCATCTACCCACTCTGCCTCCATGCCCTCCTGCCACTTACAAGAGCTATGACCTACTGAGCTCTCACTAAGTAAGCACTCTGTAGACGTGACATCAGCTGACAGCAGCACCAGTGGGTACTACTGTTTAGCCCATCTTTGCAGATGAGGAAACTGAGGTTTGGGGAGAGTAAGTGATTTGCTTACCCCTCTAATAAGGATGGAGCCAAGGTAGCTATCCGGCAGTGTGGCTCTAAAGCCAGTATGGTAACCACGACTCTAAATGTCTGCCAAGCAAGCCCAATCCTTCAACCATAGGAGGGTGTCTCCGGTGGCCATTCCCGACCAGCGGGCTGTGCCCCCGCTTCACCCCCACCCCAGTCTCAGCCTTCTTGTCAAACTGAGGAGGATGGAGTTTGTGACGAGCTAAGGCATAAGAAAAAACAAAGACCAAGGTTCTCGTTTGAGAACCAGGAACAGCAGCAGCTTACACTTACGTAGCAATTACCACATGCTAGGCACCGTTTGGAGCATATCATGTGTAGTGGGTCACGTAGCTCTCACAAGACCCTCAGGGGTGGGCATATTACCATTACCTCCATTTTACAGATGAGGAGACTGAGGCACAGAGCAGTTAAGTACCTTCAAGATCGCATGGCAACTGAATGGCAAAACCAAGACAAAAACCCAGACAGCACACTGACATCGACAAAGGGCCTGGAGTAGGGGGAGGGTTGTTGGAGGTGGAAGGGTCTGTGAAAGGAGACCCCATAGGAACCCACCAGAGCAAGAGAACAAGGCCAATGGGTCCCAGTGGGAGCTTTCTGAGCGGCCCTACCCAAAGCCCTTGCTGTCTTCCCACCCCGTGTGCAGACCCTCCTGCCATCCCCCGCAACCTGTCTTGCCTCATGAACCTCACAACCAACAGCCTCACCTGCCAGTGGGAGCCAGGCCCCAAGACCCACTTGCCCACCAGCTTCACCCTAAAGAGCTTCAAGTGAGTGGAGGCCCCCTCCCACCCCCCTCCTTTGGAATCCACGTCGGGGGTGGAATGGGGAGGACTGTGGGGAGGGAGAAGGGAGCCCCGCGGTCTTCCTCTGCTTGGCCCAAGCCTGGCCTATTGACAGGAGCCGGGGTGAGTGTCAGACTCAAGAGGACTCCGTCCTGGACTGCGTGCCCGAGGATGGGCAGAGTTGCTGCTCCATCCCACGCAAGCACCTGCTGCTGTACCAGAACATGGGCATCTGGGTGCAGGCGGAGAATGCACTGGGGACCAGCATGTCCCCACGGCTGTGCCTGGATCCCATGGATGTTGGTGGGTAATGCTGGGTGGGGGAAGGGGAGAGGCCCCCAAAAAGGGCAGACCCAGAGAGGCACGGAGAGGGAAACACAGACAGGGAGACACTGGAAGAACTATAGATAGAGGAAGAGAAGCGAGACAGTGAGAGGCAGCCCCGAGGTGTGAAGACACACAGAGGCAAGGAGGTACGTTTATTCATTCTTTCAGCAGGTTTCCTGAAATGCCCACTGTGTACTAGGCACTGTTCTAGGTACTGGATATATGGCCATGAACACAACATCAGGAATCCTTCCCTCAGAATGTTAGAATCCAGTGGAAAAATAAATAAAATAGCATGTCAGACAATGATAAGTGGGAGGGAGGATGAGAAGAAGAGGGGCATAGGGAGAGGGGTGGGGAACAGGTGCTATGTCAGTAGGTTGGTCAAAGAAGGCCTCACTAAGAAGGTGATGATTAAGCAGATCCTTGGATGAAATGAGGGAGCAAACCACTGGACATCTGGGGGGAAAGTGTTTCAAGAAGGGAGAGTGGCAGCCAGTTCAAAAGTACTGGGTTCAGAGTCTGAAACAGAGATCTGTAGAGAAGTAGATACATACACACAGAGACTGAACCACAGAAAGATGCCCGTGGCAACATGAACAGAGATAAAAAGACACACAGAGAAAGTCAGAGACAGAGAAACAGACAGGGACACAGAGACTGCATGGACGGAGACCCAGGGAGGAAAGTAGAACCACAGACAGGCAAACAGGAGCGAGCTAAAGCAGAGTCCTATAAGGTGGGCAGGGAGAGGTTCTGACAACCCCACTCCTTGCAGTGAAACTGGAGCCCCCCGTTCTGCAGACCCCGGACTCCAGTCCGGAGGCATCCCCACTCCAGCCAGGCTGCCTACAGCTGTGCTGGGAGCCATGGAAGCCAAGTCTGCACATCAACCAGAAGTGCCAGTTGCGCCACCAGCCAAAGCCTGGGAAGGCCAGCTGGGCAGTGGTGAGGTGGAGGGCAAGAGCCTGAGGTGGGGGGACAGAGGGGAGAGGTCGAGTTGGTCCTGGAAGGACTCGGAGATCCGGGCTCAGATTCATACCCTCTCCAGGTGGGCCACCTGCCCCCCAGGACCCTTCAGTATGAGCTCTGCGGGCTCCTTCATGCCACCACCTATGCCATGCAGATTCGCTGCATCCGCTGGCCCCTGCCTGGTCACTGGAGCAACTGGAGCCCCAGCCTGCAGCTGCGAACTGGCGAGCGGGGTAAGAGGGTGATGCAGAGCTGACGAGCACCCGGTCCAGGCCCCAGCGCCCTCCCTGACGGACACCCTCTCCTCTCACTTCATCCCTAGCCCCCATCGTCAGACTGGACGCATGGCAGAGGCAGCTGAGCCCTGGGACAGTGCAGCTGTTCTGGAAGGTGACTCCCTCTGAAGGCCATCTCTCCACCCCAAGACTTCCTCCCACCCAAATAGACCCTGCAATCTGGGGCTCAGGACTCCAACGGGTGTGGGAAGCATTTATATGTGACTTGCATGCACTCTGGGAGGCATTTCTGTGTGCCTAGGAAATGGCACAGTGACCTTTTGCAGAGACCAGCGCAGACTGGTTCAGGGAACAGTTAGCTGCCTGCTGTGTGCACCTACTTGCTTCCTCCTGCCCCTCTTCCTAGGGTCTACACAAGGGGACAGAGGGAGAGAGGGAGGGAGGCGAGAGGCCTGGCTCTCAGCCTGGGGACCCAGTCCCTGGGATTCGTCCACCTGCAGCGGCTCTCCCCTACTCAAGATGAGCTGACATCTTCTCTTTTTCCTTCTGTGCCTGCCACAGCCAGCGCCCCCAGAGAGAGATAGCGGGCAGATTCAGGGGTATCTGGTCTTCCAGAGGCCCGCAGGTCAGACTGGGGCAGCCCCACCCTTCTGCAACACCACGGAGCTAAGCTGTACCTTCCACTTGCCCGCGGAAGTCCAGGAAGTGGCCCTCATGGCCTATAACTCAGCTGGGACCTCCAACCCCACCCTAGTGGACTTCTCGGACAGCAGAGGTAAAGGGGGCAAGTAGCCAGAAGAGCACAGTGGCTAAGTGTGTAGAACCGGAGGTTAGACTGCCTGGGTTCAGATCTAGTCCTACCAGCCGGGCTCGGTAGCTCAGTCTTTAATCCCAGCACTTTAGGAGGCTGAAGTGAGTGGATTGCCTGAGCCCATGGATTCGAGACCCACCCGGGCAACTTGGTGAGACCTAATCTCTACAATACATCAAAAATTAGCCAGGTGTGGTAGCACAAGCCTGTAGTTCCGGCTACTTGGAAGGCTGAGGTGGAAGGATTGCCGGAGCCGAGCAGGTCGAGGCTGTAGTGGCTGGGAGCAGTCTGGGCGACAGAGTGAGACTCCAACTCAAAAAAAAAAAAAAAACAGATCTAGTCCTACTACTTGCTAACAGCATGACATGGGCAAGTGGCATCCCTCCTTGGCCTCTGTTTACACATCTGGTGGAGGGGCATGATACCAGTGCCTACTGAGGGCTGCTGTGAGGATTCCATGAGGTAAGACAAGTGCTTGGCACAACATAATTGCACAGTACATGTCAGCTGTGATTTTTATCGTTAGTCAGAACCAGGTTAGGCTGACAATGATGTCTACACACACACACAAACACACACACACACACGGTCCATTCTGCCAAGCAAGCCCAAAGAGAAAGCCCTAAGCTTTTCCAGCTGGAATATGGTCTGAGTTCATTGCTCATTCTCAGGGGATCAGCCATGAAGGTGGGACTAATAATCATAATAACAATAATATTTAATATTCCCACATACTGTGTGACCTTAGATAAGTTACTACACCTCTCTATGTCTCTCAGTTTGCTTATTGATAAAATGGGGACAATAGTATACCTCCCGGGTGTGACTACTAGAGGACTCTGAATTAACACATACCAAGGACTATGCCTGGTACATTCAGATCTATGTAGTGCAGCTGCCGTCATTTTCAAGAACGGCTCCATGCTAGACACTGGGCTAGGCTTGCTCCATGCATCCTCTCCTTTCATCTGCACCAAGACCCTCTGAGGCAGGAACTTGTATCATCATTTCCACTTTGCAGATGAGAAAACTGAGGCTCAGATGTTGACCTATTCAAGGTCACCCAGCCTGTAAGTAGCAAAGCCAGGATGTATTTGAAGCCAGGTTTCTGGTTACAGGCCTGAATTCTTCTCACCTTCATTCTGCCGTTTCCCACTGTCCCCAGGCCCACCCCTGGCCGGAGTCCATGCTGTGGCCCTAGATCCTCACAGCCTCTGGGTAGGCTGGGAGCTCCCCAGCCCACAGCCTCAGGGCTACGTGATTGAGTGGGGCCCAGGTGCCCCCAGTCCCAGCAACAGCAGCAAGACCTGGAGAATGGAACACAACGGAAGCATCAGCGGGACTCTGCTGAAAGGTGGGGGGGAGCTGGGCAGGTGGGGGAGGCTGGGGAGAGAGGGAGGCAGCGCTTGTTCAACTGCAGGCAAGGGGCAACCTGAACGGCCCTGGAGAAACAGATTCCCCAGCCTTGCTTGATCCTTCACTGTTCTCATCTGACATCCTCACAATCAGGAAGTTCTTCCACTAGTCTAACCTGACCTTTTTCTATAGCCCTGACCCTGCTACCTTCTAGCACTGTCTTCCACTTATCTTCCCTAACACCCACCAAATGATCTAAAGAAGAGAGTGCAGAGGTTAGCCCTGCATGGTGAGGCCAGGTTAACCCTGACTAAAGGTCTGGCGTTAGCTCGTGATAATCAGCAGAGGCCAGCCCCTAACAGGAGTACCTACTCCATTTTCTCCTTACAGAGAACATCAAGCCCTTTCAGCTCTACGAGATCACTGTGACTTCCCTGTATCGGGACACCATGGGCCGCTCCCAACACATCTATGCCTACTCCCAAGAGATGGGTTTGTCAGCCATCGGGCCCCTTTCCAGAATCCTCTCCTCTCCCAAGGAACATGCAGGAACATTTCCTTCCTCCCATGCTCTGGACCTGGAGAGGGTCGCACCCAAGCCTAAGATTACCTCTGCTTACACTAGACTCCTACAGCTGAACAGAAATCAGGTGGTGGGGCGGTAGAAATTGGGCAGTGAGTTTGGCAGAATTCAGGAAGCAAATATGGCAAAAATCAATCAATCAGGGTACTGAAGAAATAAGATGTCACGGGTGATAGAAATTGGACTGAGAACCTGGCATCGGAGGGTGAGTGGCAGAAATCAGACAAAATCAGGCCTGGTAGAAACCAGGAAGTGAGGCTTTAGAGTCTAACAGAACTGGTTCAAATCCTGGGGTGGCCACTTACTAGCAGTAGTTGGGGTTCAGATTACACCCCTAAAAATGAGGCTTGGACATGAGTCCCCCTGGGCTCTCCTTTCTCGCTCACCCCTCAGCGTGTCTGGGGAGCCACAGGGAGTCCAGTCAGGCTCTCTGCCCTGCCCCACTCCCTTCAGCTCCTGGACTGTCTTCCCACAGCCCCGTCCCATGCCCCAGAGCTGCATCTAAAGCACATTGGCAAGACCTGGGCACAGCTGGAGTGGGTGCCTGAGCCCCCAGAGCTGGGGAAGAGCCCCCTCACCCACTATACCATCTTCTGGACCAACGCTCAGAACCAGTCCTTCTGTGAGTCTATCTTCAGCTCCCCACAGCTCCAGAAGGCCCGGGAGGGGGTACTCAGCAGCCATGAAGGCTGCTTCAGCACCTGGGCCCAGGCTGACTATGTGCCCCACTCCCAGCCACTGTCCTAAACGCGTCCTCCCATGGTTTTGTCCTCCGTGGCCTGAAGCCCGGCAACTCGTATCACGTCTACCTCATGGCTGCCAGCCAGGCCGGGGCCACCAACAGTACAGGCCTCACCCTGGTGACCTTTGCCCCAGGTAAGGCAAGGGGAGCTGGGCAGAGATGGCTGTTGAAAGGGTACCCCCCGCAAAGGATCCTGATTTTCAGAGTAGATAGGACCATGCCCTTGGATCCCCTGGTCTGAGAGAGGAGACCCACACTGCTCATGCAACCCAGCCAGAAGGAGGAGACCCAGCCATGCACATGGACCCCAGCCTGAGGGAAGAGACCCAGCCCTGCCCATAGACCCCAGCCTGAGGGAGGAGACCCAGCCCTGCCCATAGACTCCAGCCTGAGGGAGGAGACCCAGCCCTGCCCTGGGATTCCAGCCTGAGAGAGGAGACCCAGCCTTCCTCACATGCACTCTAACCTCTTCTGGCTTTCCCCTCACCCCAGAGGGGTCTGAGCTACACATCCTTTTGGGCCTGTTCGGCTTCCTGCTCTTTTCCATCTGCCTCTGTGGGACTGCCTGGTTCTGCTGCAGCCCCAGGTGAGTCCTTTTGACACCTGTCACCCAGCTACCCCTACCCACAGGGAACGGCAGGCCTGAGTGGGCACATCCAAGTCCCTTCAAGCCTCCTTAGACCTCGGGGCCCATGTCTAAGCATCCTAGCCCTCCCCGCCTTCTTCCCTCAGCACTAAGGTGCAGCTGCATGCAGCTCTTCAGCTACTGAAATGAGTGGGACAGGATGGGAAGACGGGAGGGTAAGCCTGACCCAGCCCCCTGCCTGCCCCCTTCTCCAGCAGGAAGAATCCCCTCTGGCCAAGTGTCCCAGACCCAGCCCACAGCAGCCTGGGCACCTGGGTGCCCACCACCATGGAGGAGGTGAGAATCCTGGAGGGAGAGGGAAATGGGCAGGGGCTGAAGGAAAGATGTCATGCTGAGTCTAAACAGCATATGGCGCATGTCGGGCATAGGTCAGGAACACAACTGCTTTGCAAGTGGAATCCTTTGTATTCCAGCAGAAATGTCCCCACAACTGGGCCCAACTCAGGAAAAAACAGTGGCTGGGGCAGATATCTGAAACAAACCATGCCCAAACCCCATGTCCTTATGTGCAGGAGACCTTCCAGCTGCCCAGCCTTCGGGACCTTAGCGTGCCACCCATCACCAAGATCACGGTGCTGGAGGAGGAAGAGAAAAAGCTGGGGCCCTGGGAGGCTGGTGACAGCTTGATGACCTGTGGTCTGCCCACTCTGGTCCAGACCTACGTGCTCCAAGGGGACCCAAGAGCAGTTTCCACCCAGCCTCCGCCCCAGTCTGGCACCAGCAATCAAGTCCTTTATGGGCAGGTGCTGGGAAGCCCCACAGGGCCAGGGCCAGGGCACTACGTCCGCTGCGACTCCACTCAGCCTCTCTTGGGGGGCCTCACCCCCAGCCCCAAATCCTATGAGAACCTCTGGTTCCAGACCAGCCCCCCAGGGACCCCAATATCCCCACCTCAAAGCCAAGAGGTCGACTGTGTCTTTGGACCACTGCTGGACTTTCCCCTTCTGCAGGGGCTCCGGGTCCATGGGGTGGAAGGACTGGGGGGCTTCTAGGGCTTCCTAGGACTCCCCACCTGGGTCTACCTCTTGAAAGTCCTGAGCTATCCAGAGGAGAGGAGAGGAGAGGGTCAGTGAGCCCATCACAAAAACCGGTACCCCTGGCCCCAGGAAAAGCAGAAAGGCTCCCAGGTGCTCCCACCTATAGGCCCCAGCATCCCTGCCTTCCCCCAATCTCCACGGGCTGGGCCTCCCAGGCAAGCTGCATACTCTAAGAGCCAGATAATGGTCCAGCTCCACCCACTGGCCTTTTGTGCTTGTTTCCTATAATTTCAGTATTTTAAACTGGTGTTTAGTTTGAGGTGTTGTTGTTGTTGTTGTTGTTGTTACTACAAACACTCAAGTTACCTGAGTCTCTGCCCTCCTTCCTTTCAGGGCCCTAGCAGTCAGGGGGCTACTTCTCAGAACTGTTCATTTATTTATTCATTCCTTCACTCTTTCCTTCATTCATTCAGCTAGCTCTCACTCAGCATCTAGGCCCTGTGCTAGAGCAGATATTTAAAAATGACTCAGCTCAGTCCACCCTCAAAGAGCTCCCACTCTAGTGGTGGGGACTTTAAAACTAATCAGGGTTACATGGGGTAGGGGAGCCATAGAGTGTGGTGGGACATGCTGAAGAGATCTTGGAAAAGACTAGCTCCTGTCAGGGAATTATAAATAAAAACAAAATCTTGTCAGGCGCAGTGGCTCATGCCTATAATTCCAGCACTTTAGGAGGCCAAGGTGGAAGTATTGCTTGAGCCCAGGAGTTCCAGACCCGTCAGGGAAACTTAGTAAGACCTCATCTCTACACACACACACACACACACACACACACACACACACACACAAAGGCCTGTAGTCTCAGTTGCAGAAGGCTGAGGTAGAAGAATCACCTGAGCCCAGGAGGTAAAGGCTGCAGTGAACCATGATCATGCTACTGCACTCTAGCTGGGCAACAGAGTGAGAACCTGACTCTAAAGTTTTTTTTTAAATCTCCTGCCGACCCAGAAAACCTCTCCACAAGGGTAGAAAGAAAGAAAACAGTGTTATTATTAAATAAACATTAAACCAGAATGTGATCCGCATCACAAGCATTCCTCTAAAAAGATTGCAAAGACAGAAGTTTTTTATATAGCCAGTGGATACAACTTACTACACACATTTTCTCAAGATAAACAACTAGTCCTCAAGAGGAATTGACAGCACAATTAGTCACAGAGTTCATCCTAAATTTACCAGTAAATGGGCACCCACCTATGTCTGCTAGTTGGCTTTACCCATATCTTTATGGCAAAAGGGATAACTTAGAGCCAGGTACTAACTCACTTTAGGCTCCTACCCTTCCATAGAAATTGGGAGACAGGGCACAATCATCCTTATTATATTTCAAAGAGATGGCTCCCAGCTCCTTGAGAAAAACATTTCAAGGTTGTAAAACTGGCAAGAGGTTTACTTAGCTTTTAAAAAGATTTACATCCATCTCAAAAGAAAGAATTAACAATTGTAAGTTTTCTAAAGTAAATGCTCTAAGAAAAGTAATGAAGAAGAGAGTCTTTTCCCTTGTTGCACCAGGGAGAATTAAAATTTATTTTTCCTACCTTTAATTTGCACCAGCCCTAACACCACTTAGTTCACAAATAACATCACGGCTAATATTTATTGAATGTTTACTATATACCAGGTGCTTTGCATATATCTGCCTCAAGTTAATGCTCTCAACAACCTAAAAGGTAGAATACTGTTAATATCATCCCCATTTGATGGATGAATAGCCTGGGGCCCAGAATGGTTAATACATCACTTGCCGACAAGATCACACGCTAAGTAAACTGCCCAAGACGGACTGATTCCAAAATCAGAGACCTTAGCCGCCAGGTTGCAAAGCTGCCCAAGAAGAGGCTGAAACCCACTAGTTATTTTATTTTATTTTTTTAGAAAGCAGGATTTATTGAAAAGACAGAAAAGTTCCCACAGTGGGAGGGGGCCCAAAGGCTGAGATGGAAAATGTAGCTTCCCATTCCAAGTCAGTACGCAGAGCAGCTAAGGTCCCTTCCGTTAGGTAAATGATATGGGGCAAGTTACTTCCTCTCTCTGAGCCTTATTTCTAAACTGAGTGTAAAGATATTCGAGAGGATTGTTCGGAGTCAGTGGTAATTCCAACTAGTTCTTACAGGGCCCCACCCCTGACTTAAGGGCACGAGGCGGGGTGGGTAAAATACTACGTTGGGAGGATAGGCCACCGCAGCCTCCACGGAAGCCCCCAAATAACCGCGACCCCAAGCCCGGAAAGTGCAGACGGATTAAGTACGGGATGCATGCCCCCCAAATGTGGCATTTTTTAATTTAATGCCACACCACAAACCACTAACACGGGGCCACACAACGACCACCCTCCGATCGCGCACAAGAGGTAGGTAGCCAGGTCTCTCAACTCGACTCCACGCACTGCGTCATCAGAATTTGGCCCACCAATCCATTCTCTCGGTCCTCGTCTGCTCTGGTATCGCAACTGTCTCGATTGGTCGAGCCTGAGCCAGCATGGCGGCGTCCGAGTAACCCCGGCGGTAACGCGAAGGGGACGGCGGCCGTGGCGGGGGCCAGCGCGGGTGAGAGGTCGCCATGCTGAGGGCCGCGTGGAGGGCGCTGAGTTCGATCCGGACCCGGGCCGTGACCCAGGCCCCATTCCGTGGGCCGCCGGGCGGAGGGAGCCCCAGGCTTCCTTCCAGCCAGTGGGGCCTGCAGCCTCGAAGTGAGTAGCTGAAAAATGGGACGGCGGGGAACGGGGTTCGGCGAAGATGGAGGATGCCGGAGACAGGGATAGGGGAGAAGTGCAGCGGCAGGATGAGGAGGAGAGGGTGGTGTTGGGAAAGAAGTGAGACGAGGTGTGAGAGACCAGGAGCAGCAAGGTAGAGAAGAAAGGGGGCAGCGGTCAGACGCAGAAGCGCGTAGACCATGAAGGGAGGGTAATGCGAGGAACACAGAAAGGAACTAAGGCTGGACTATTTAAGGAGATGAGCCTCAGTCCTCTCTCTACTTTTAGGTCCCCTCCTCCAGGCTGCCCGCGGACGTGCCATCCAGAAACCAGGTAGGAGTTCCTAGGGGTGGGACCTGGGATGGAAGCCTGCGAGGCTTGGGATGGCTGAGGGGATGAAGTTGGAGAGGGCAAAGAGGTGGACCTAGAAATCCTGAGCAGAAAACCCCACGTCCACCTTACACCTAAGCCCCAGGCCTGAATCCTGCGCGGGAGGAAGGGTGTGTGAAGGACGGGAGCAGGAGCTTTACAGGTGAGTGAGTGAAGATGAGCTAGCCAGAGGGAATGCTGGCACCACCCAGGCCTACCTGGAGTGTAAGCACTTGGTGTCTGCCCTAAGGCTGAGATGGAAAATGTAGCCTCCCTTCCCAAGTCAGTATGCAGAGCAGCTAAGGTCCCTTCTGTTAGGTAAATGATATGGGGCAAGTTACTTCCTCTCTCTGAGCCTTATTTCTAAACTGAGTGTAAAGATATTCGAGAGGATTGTTCGGAGTCAGTGGTAATTCATGAAAAGCATCCTTAGCACTGCGTTCAACGAAATGCAGTATATATTTGTATTTATTGCTACTAATATTATTTTCACAGCAGCAGAGCAGGGAGAGGTTAAGTTGATCTACCCCATACCTCTCCCTCACCTCCAAGTGATGGCAGGGAATCACTGTGGCCGAGATGTCCCTGTGATCTCTACTTGGTGCTTACATTTCAGGCGTCCCAAAGCTGGCTGCCACTCCTCAACCCCCTTATTTCATCCGTGTTGTCAGCCAGTAAGTGTTTGCTGAGTGCCTTTTCTAGGCTGAGCCATGTACCGGGCTGTAGGGGATTCAAAGGGAGTCAAACTCATTCCTGTTCATGAGAGGACACATCCTTGTGGGGATCTGCTAATTGCAGAGCTAGATAGGTGTGGGAGAAGTACAGACACAATATGGGGTCTTGGGGAAGGTCATCTAATGCCAGTGTGAAATATCAAGGCAGGTGCTGCAGGACTTGCAGAGGAGAATCTGAGCCCAGAGATATCCAGTGTCTTCCTTAAGACCCTGGATATCTCTTAGCAAGTTGGAGAGTGGAGAAAAAGCCAAGTCTGGGAACATGGACAGGGAGAGTTGACTCTGGTGTTTTCTATCCCTATATTCAACAGTCCAGCCCTGGCAAGATGATGACCTGCCCCCTTCCACTCTGCTCAAAGACTACCAGAATGTCCCTGGAATTGAGAAGTAAGCAGAAATAAACATACTTGAGAAGGTTGGGACCCTGGAAAGACTGGTGGGGAGGGAGGCAAGACAGTGACTTTGAGGCTTGGCCTCCTGTATCTGAAGCTTGATATAAAATGAGGTGGAGAGCTATAGAGGCCCAGAGGTAGTGAGAGTGAGCGGTCAGTGAGGGGAGATGGTGCTCATGGAGCTCAGCCACTAGCTTTTTCTTTTCTGTACTCTGGATGAAGATCCTATACTAGATACCAAGGTTAACATGCTTCACAGGTCTTTGTAGAAATCTCTCATCTCGGCTGAGTGCAACGGCTCAGCCTATAATCCCAGCACTTTGAGAGGCCAAGGCAAGAGAATGGCCTGAGTCGGGGGGTTCAAGACCACCCTGGACAACTTGGTGAGACCTCATCTCTACAATAAATCACAAAAATTAGCTGGGCATGGTGGCATGCATCTAGAGTTCCAGCTACTTGGAAGGCTGAGGTGGAAGGATCGCCGGAGCCCAGCAGGTCGAGGCTGCGGTGGCCGGGAGCGGCCACTGCACTCCAGTCTGGGTGACAGAGTGAGACTCTAACTCAAAAGAAAAAAATTTTTTTTTAATCTCTCATTTCTTGATCTTCACAAAAGCCCTGTGAGGGAAGAAATAGTGTCCCCATTTTATAGATTATCAGGCTGCCCAATGTCATATAGCTCTAAGGGGCAGAGCTGGGTTTGAACCCAGGCCTGACACCAAAGCAAAGGTTCTGGTCAGCCCGTCCTGTGTAGGGGAGCTGGTCAGTCCCTCCAGTCCCTCCTACTGTATAGTTTGACTTGAAATGTCTCAAAACAGATTGAACCATGTTCTAACTAAAATGAAAATCCTCCCTGTGATGAGACTGGAACACTTGAGCTGACAGTCTCAATTTTCCGTAGTTTTCAACCCAGCAAACCAGATCCATGCTGACTTCTAATCCATGGGAAATGGCTCCCCACTTCCAGGGAGACTGGAGAATTTTCAATCATCTTTGCTTTTCAAACTAAAATGAAACCAGCACTGCCTCTTTTTCCCCTCTCCTTCCCATGCCTGTCTCTCATTGCTGCAGTTTTTCCACAGGGTCAATGATGTCGTGAAAAGACTCTTGTCTTTGGAAATGGCCAACAAGGTGAGCAGTCTGTGCCAAACCTCAGTCTCAACCTCCCTCATTCCTCTTCTCTGGGCTCCCTCCTACACCAATTAGCCCCCTATCCCATACTTCCCCAGTCATAGCACTTATTTCACTGTCATTCTGCATCCACTTGACAATATCCCCAGACTGAACATCTTGAGGGCAAGAACACTTTTGTTGCCCCATTGTACCCCTAGACCTGGCACATGGTAGGTGCTCATAATGATCTGGTACATGTATAAATGACCAAGCTTTGGGGACATTCATCTGACAAGTCATTTCTCCTGCCAGTGGCTTTGGCCTTGGGCTCACCTATATGTGAACAGCTATTTGGTTAACCAAGTCCACAGTGAGCAGAGTAAACTGAGGCCCTGAGGCTTATGGACCTGCTTGCTATAACTGCAGCCATGGTTTGGAGGGTAGAAGGGCTAGTTCTTAGGGGGTAGGAAACTACACAGATTTTTCTCTGTCTCTGTCTTCTGCAGAAGGAGATGCTAAAAATCAAGCAAGAACAGTTGATGAAGAAGGTTGTGGCAAACCCTGAGGACACCAGATCCCTGGAGGCACGAAGTTGGTTGGGGACCCTTGGGGAGTGGGAGTACAGGGGAGTCTGTAGCTGGGACCGGATCTAGGGCTCTCGTCTACAAGCACACTCAGATATCTTTGGAAAGAGAAAGACACGAAGGACCTAGGGCAATGAAAACTGGACCCTGTATCCCAAGCATACAAGCTCTGATGCTGGAGTCAGTGCTCAGGTCCTGCCTTATACCTCTGTGTGAGCTTGGGCAATCCTCGCTCATAGACTCTGCTTCCTAGTCTGGAAAAAGTGGAGCTGCGAAGGGCAGGGCACAGGTAATGTTACCTACCTCATGAGAAGCTGAGGGTGTAAACACACCTTGAAAACTAAAGCTCTTGCTGTGTGATAATATTAGTAAGGCTAACATTGAATGCTCATGTTAATGCCAGTAAACACTGTGGAGCATTCCCGAGAGTAATGCTCCTGCCTTGGTTTGAGCTGGAACTGGCAGTAGCCCTCATTAGATGTGAGTAAAAAGCTTAAAAAGCCCCTCACGTCCCCCTTGCTTTGGGTGCTTGTTTTCTTCGTTGACCACTGAGAGCAAGTGAGGTAAACTAGTGAAGCTCTCTGGGGTCTGGACATTTTCCCCCTTTGCCATTGGCCTGTATTACAGCCTCTTCCTCCTCCTCTTCCATCCTCCTACCTTCATTCTTTTCTTCTCCCTCTGTCAGGGATGCAAGTCTGATGAGTTCATCTTGGATACTGGACTCTCACAGAGAATGTCTGGAGTCTCAATTCCTGAGTCCTTCATAGCCCCTTTAGAAAAGATGAGTTTAAGCTTCCCTTGGCCCCCTGAAATCTTGGCCTGGGAGCTACCTCAACCACAGAAGGGCTGCTTATCACACCTCACCTGTTTGTACATTAACAATACTGAAATCTTCCAGGTTGGCAGGAACAAGTGGTGAACCATTTTTTTGCTAAGACACCAGCGAGTCTAAGACAACTAAGGGTCCTCTTTAAGCATGAGTATCAATTCTTTTCCATTAAATCTCAGTTTCCAGCTGGGCTCGGTGGCTCAGCCTGTAATCCCACGCCTTTGGGAGGCTGAGGTGAGTGAATTGCCTGAGCCCGCGGGTTTGAGACCCGCCTGAGCAGCGAGACCTCATCTCTACAATAAATCAAAAAATCAGCCGGGTGTGGTAGCGCATGCCTGTAATTCTTGCTACTTGTAAGGCTGAGGCAGAAGGATTGCTGGAGCCCAGCAGGTCAAGGCTGCAG